CTCGTGGATTATGGTATCAAGATTACTCACCTGGAGAATGAGACATAGCGAGGAAATTAGCTTCCTATCTTGGGTTCTACCGCACGATCTGAAGTATCAAAGGAGGGTGAAATTCCTAAATGTCCGAATAGCCTCCAACTTATAGATGTGGTCGACAACATACCGATAAGGACTCTACTAGACACGGCTCCGAGACATCCTAGGACACTTTAAAACCTTAGGCTCTGATACCAAGTTTGTCACGCCCCAAAATCAAGGGGCGCGACCGGCGCTCAACCGAGCAAGCCCGACTGAGCAAGCCTATTAGGTTTCATTCTACCCAAAAATTAATTTATGAATAACAAGGAGATGAACTCCATAAATCCTACTTTATGAGCATTACATTGACAATTTTATCTTTGTCTTTCATTAACAGTTCAACCATACTAACAAAATTATTACAATTAATAGATACGAAGGAAACATTCTGCCAAATAACAACATATCTAGTTCAAATTTTCAATATCCGACACCACCCATAACCTGTCTACGGAGCCTTTAAATACAACTGAAGAGTAATATAGAAATGTCGGCAACAAGGCTCAGGCTATACCTCAAAATATAAAGTACATGATAAACAACGGTACATGACCCCGAAATGAAGAGGGGCTCACCAAGTCAGCTGAAAGGGAGATGCGTCACTAGCTGCGACCAACACTATCTGCTATGGAACCACCTAAATCCATTTAAAAACATAGCGCCCCCGGCAAAAGGGACGTTAGTGCCATCGTATAGCAGTAGTATGTATAACTAAACATCATCTCATTAGAAAGAACAACCATACAAGAACAAAGAAATCATAAGGATTCAAGAAAAGCTTTAAACAATCACTACATCATCAAATAAAAGGAATCATATAGCTTTCACATAATTTCCATAGCTTTAGTTTGGGACATTTAATACTGTTCATCATCATTCACAATACCACCGCTTTATTGAGCGGAGTCCGACCATAACCCGATCGGCTAGGTTGCCTCATTTGAGACATGTACCTCAATCATAATTCATTCTCACTTTCCGGAATTCAATATCAGCACAATACCACCATGTATGTGGCATGGCATCCGATCACAGCCCGATCGGCTAGGTCGCCTTAACAAGGCGTTGTTAAGGCGTTGTTCCTTTCTCATTAATCATCTCATTTCAATCTTTATTTCACATATATCAATTCATAGACACTTAGAGCCACAATTATCACATCATACTTGGCACTAGGCCACATTTCACAACTCATATTCGACGTCACCTTCACTTTCAACATCAAACTTGCAATTTAAGATAATGGACACATACAAGAGCAATTCAAGTTGTAAGCATAGAGAGAGATTCACATAATTTGGCATAATAATCACGATTTAAAATTGACTTGAAATCTAGGCAATTTAGCATATAGTCTACATTCTTCATATCACCAATTTATCAAGAATAGCATATTGAACATATTGGGACACACTTTTCACATATATTCTGCAACACTAATTCCTTTGAAATAACAAATACTACGTCAATCAAATTTCGAACTTACAATTTTACATGGACACCATGAGAGCTCAATTTCTAAGAAGAGGGGGTTTTAGCCATACATACCTCAAAGAGCTTTTCCTTAAGTTTCTACAATCCACCGACACCTCTAGCAATAACAATCTATAAGGAGATAGCGGGAATCAATTAATAATTAGGAAGATTACCCATGGTGTAACTCTCTTAGGAATTTCATCAAACACCTAACATGTGAAGTAGTCTACAAGGTCTGAAAATAAAAATTCCTTCTTCCCTCAACCAATTTTAACAGGAACTACCCAAATTAGTTCTTTAATATCACATACTACAACTTAGTCCCACATGCATGGCCTATTTCTAATTTCCACAATATATTTGAACCTTTAACCTCTTATATGAAATCTTGGAAGAAGGACTTACCCGGATGGAGGACAATCAAGTGGTTATCTTCCTTGATTCTTGGAAACTTGGGCAAGATTTGGGTGATTATGAAGTTAGGCTCCTTTTCTCTCTATATGCTCTCAACTCTCTCTAAAATCAGTAGAAAATGACCCCAAATGAAGCCCCAAAGCCTATATATTAAAATGGGGTCGGGTTATAAAAATAGAAAAAATAAGCCTCCGAAATCGGGTCTACGGTCGCATAATGGATCGCAAAATAAGAATGTGGGCCGCAAAATGCATCGCGGAATTGGTGCCCATGACTGGGCTACACTGGTCCAGTTTGCGACCAGATTTACGATCGCAGATCAATTATGCGGACCGCGTCCGCATAATGGTTTTGCGATAGCAGAACTGACACAAGATTGCATTTTTCCAGCCTTTGGTAATTTGATCATAACTTTGTGTAGGAATGTCCAAATGACGAACGATTTGAAGCATTTGAAACTAGACTCGAAGACCTTTCATATGATAGGTTGTTCATTACATAAAACCTTATATATATTTAGATATGCTCGTTCAAAATGTGGACTTGTGCAAACTCATTTGGAATTTTAGCCCATTATGAAATTTTCTAACTTGACTTAGACTTAGGCCTCCCATTAGACCCCACATTACTTATTATAAGACTTATACACTTATTTATCGAATCCAATTGATACTCATCATGTTAATAGCACATAAAACATTATAATTAACCTACATGGCACCACAAAATCCTAATTTACTCAACGAAACTTTCTGGGACCTTAGAGTATATCACCTTCAACTTATGCATGTCTATGCCTTACTGACTATATAGTTATACTAGCATAGAATATTGAATTTAAGATGGTAAGAAATTCTCCATTATTAGGAACAAATAATTATCCATGAAGCAGATTATTAGCCAATTGATCATATTTAAGCTACACTAATTATGACCGTAATAATGTAAACTTAATAATTTAATATTTAGAGGGCAACAAATCTTGAAGTTTGATTACACCTCAATTATATTTTTGTTACTGAATCTATAGTAAGATTTCATTTCACTAAAAAATGGATTTCTTAAATTTTAACTTTGTAATTTTAAAGTATGCGCTCAATATCTTACTACTTACAAGGCTTTACTATTTTGAAGTCTCTATTGCCATATTTTATTTTGAAACTCGTCAAGTAAAATATTCAAATAGATAATATAATAATCAAGAAATTTCAATTCAAAAAGGTTAAATGATATATTTGGTCGTCAGGTGTAGTTGTACCCACTCCTTTCGGCTTAAATATACTCACACACATATACTATATCCGGTTTTCACCATTAACGCTTTTCACTAATACACTTCCTCATTGCTTGCAGGCTCTCTCGTTTGTGTGTTCCTAATGGTATTCATCCATAGAAGGATATATTGTGAAAATATGCTCAATAATTAAATTTTTGTTCCTGCGATTGATTCTTTGTCATATTCTTTACATTTTGATTTAAACTTAATCTTTTCAGGCCTTTATTTTTTGGTATATCTGCTTCAACTTATGTATGTCTTGCTGACCTATATAGTAACACTAGCATAGAGTATTGAATTTAAGATGGTAAGAAATTCTCTATTGTTAATAAATTATTATCCATTAAGCGAATTATTGGCCAATTGATCATGTTTATTTCTACACCAATAATGATCGCAATAACGTAAACTTAAGAGTTTAATACTTAGAGGATAACAAATCTTGAAGTTTGATTACACACCAATTATAATTTGGTTATTGAATCTATAGTAAGATTTCACTTTATTCATAAATGGATTGCTAAAATCTAAACAAGAAAGTAAATTGTAACGTCATTTTTTGTAATTTTAAAATATGCGCTCAATATATTACTACTTAAAAGGCATTACTATTTTGACTCTTCTAGTGTCATATTTTATTTTTAAACTGGTCAGTCAAAATGTTCAAATAGATTACCCTATAACCAAGAAATTACAATTCAAATAAGGTTATTTGAAATATTTGGTCGTGAGGTGTAGTTGTACACACTTTTTCGACTTAGATTTATGCGTACATGCACATAATATATCCAATTTTCACCAATACATTGATGCTTTTTATCAATACGTCTCCTCATCGCCCATAGTCTCTCTCGTTCATGTGTCTCCTCATGGTATATATTCATCCATGGTAGGATATATTACGAACACTTGCTCAACCATTAGATCTTTGTTCCCGCAACGATTCTTTATCATGATATTTATACTTTCATTTAATCTTGATCTATTGGGGCCTTCATTTTGTGGTATATAGACTTTAACGTATGCATGTTTTTCTGATCTATATAGTAACACTAGCCTAGAATATTAAATTTAAGATGGTAAGAAATTCTCCATTGGTAACAAATAACTATTTATTAAGCGTATATTTAAGTAATTGATCACATTTATTTCTACACTAATGATGACCATAAATTCGTAATAATGTACCTTTAATAATTTAATACTTAGAGGATAATAAATCTTGAATTTTGATTACACAACAATTATAGTGTGATTACTGAATCTATAGTAAGATTTCACTTCACTCATATGGAATGCTAAACTCTATTACAAAAAAGGTAAATTTTAATTTTGTAATTTTAAAGTATGCGTTCAATATGTTACTACTTACAAAATTTATTATTTCGTAGCCTTTATTGTCATATCTTATTCTTAAACTCATCTATAAAAAATGTTCTAATCGATAACCGAGAAACTACAATTCAAATAAGGTTATACGAAATATTTGGTCGGCAGGTGCTCTCGCACCCACTCCTTTCGATTTAAATCATATATGTATATGATCAAACACACACTATGCACGCACATATACTATATGCAGTTTTCACCAATACGCTGACGTTTTGGCCCAGGCGAAGCACGCTTTTGATGTGTCCTAGTTGTCGTAATAGTTGTTACACGTAATAGCCATGCCGAGAACACGTGATCCTCCCCTTTCTTCTGAGTCTTAAAACTCTATATAAACCGCTTCAATTAGTTGTATTGTATTTTTACAACTTCCGTTACTTGTTTAGCCAATTAGCCCCCTTCCTGAAGAACCCTCGAATCTCTCTCTCCACATATATATACAGATAGATTTGACAATCGTTTGAATTGGATCTGGTAGAAAACAATGTCAATTCACTTCAAATTCAGGAGCTGTCCAAGCTTCGATTCCGTTGATATAGACGGCCGGCCGTCTATCTCGGTGCGGGAGCTGAGGTTGAAGATCATCCGCCGCAAGAATCTCAACATTTGTCAGGACTTTGATCTCGTTTTCTCTGACGCCCTCTCCGGCCAAGGTCCTTTAATTCTTCTGAATTTTTTTCTTTCTGTTTTTGTTTGAGTCATTAATTAGCCGTTTATTTATTACACTTTATGCGCACGGCTTGGAATTTATTAATTCAGAGATACATAGAGCTATGTATAGATAGTGCCTATATATTCATAGGTTCCTGATTTTTAATGTTTGAAATGTAGTTTTAATTAGTGTGCAACAGAAAGAGAGATTGAGATAGAGAGAGAGCGAGAGAGAGATTGCGTGTGTGTGAGAGAGAGTGACGTGTATGTGAGTGTGGCGACATACATGTATTTGAAAATTTAACTTAATTCAGAGATGCGTATATCAACGTGTTTGTGTGCATGTGAAAGCTTACGTTTGGGAATTTTTTGTTGAAATGCATGAGAGAGAGGGAGGGAGGGANATTCCTTATGCTGAAATGTATGATCAGAGTAATATATATCTATGCGTTCCTATATATGTGTTTGCATGTCTGAAGTTTATCTTAATCTTCTTGTGTTATTCATTGCAGAGTATAATGACGAAAATTTTCAGATTTCGAGTGGGTCAAGTGTAATTGTCAAGAGAGTTCCCGCTGGAACGATCCCTTCAACTACTAAGTGAGTTCTTATTTCTTTGAAATGCAAAATCCCTTTAGGAAATTTTACTAATATATGTCTTATTATTAGGTATTACCTCAATTGAATTAATTTTATAACTAGATTCTTTCGCCTTTTGTTGTGAGAGTGTGATTTTGAGCTTTTCCCTGCAATGACTAATGGATTTGTATTGTATGAGGTAAGATTAGTTTGTGAACTGTATAAAAGAGAATTGATGTTCTTATGGATGGGCTTTGTATTGTTGACTTGGCATTTATTGGTAATTTTTTGAGTTAGAGCACTATGAATGTCGCACAAAATGGACATACAATTATATTAGTTAATAGAAGAGGTGGATGGCATGGAGCCATGGACGGAACTGCTAGATGGCCATGATCTGAAGTGATATGGTATAAAAATGAGTTGTTGCTCGAGTGAAGGTTGGCGCTTTTGAACGCCATTTGCATATGCCCGCATTCAAAGAACCACTGAGGATGCATATGCTGTCTTTTATAATTTTCTTGATATTGGTCGCGATTGATTCTATCTGAGTAGTATCCGGCAATAGTCATGTGATAGTTTTTCTTGATATTTGTTGAGATCGATTATGCATGTGTAGCACTCAGCAATAGTGTATGTGCTATCAGCATATTCGGATGGGCTGCAATTTTGTTCTAGTTGGAAAGGGGTGAAGTGGAAGCCTTGCTATAGTTGTGGTGTTAGCTGGTGCGATCACAAAGGATTGTCTTGAATGGTTAGCGTCCATGCGTAGGCAGTTGAAACCACTCATTAAATGAGGGTGTCGGTTCGAAATCCAAACAGAAAGTTGTATTGCTTTATCAATGATTGCAATGTTGTCAAAGGATTGTTTGAGACGCGCTTAAACCCTAAAATTTGGTTCAAAATAGGCTGTGTGCCTTGCCTTGCTTAAGCGGTAGCCATACCAAGGCGCTAAGGCATGTGCCTCGTCGCCCGTAGGCTGTCTCATAAAAAAGGCTGACTCCGAACAAGAAATATTTCACCTAATTGTAACTTATCCAATTCTTTTGTTTACATAATTGTGGTTTGGGTTTATAGTCATTATTCTTGAACACATTTTCCCTTCAAGTGCACCTTTCTTTATTAGTTCTCGCATTTTATTAATGCTTACCGTTTAGAGCTCCAACTAGCTTCAGTTTTTCTTTCTGTCTTTGATAACACTGAAAAGATAACACTAAATGATCGCAAATCGTGGTGATGTCGTTAAGTCAACGTTTGTGGTTTAAGATCTTGCTGTAACAATGCTTCATTGAGAGCATACTTTTTTGGATAAGGTAAATAATTTTATTAACAATTGGGAAGAACCCCCTGTACAAGCCATATACCAAAAAACAGAGAACAACAACAAAAAACCCAATGACCTCATGAATACACCAAAATACAGTTCTCAATAAAAGAGACTCAACCCTTTATACAAATAGGGACCTCATGCGTACACCAAAAGGAAACTGAAAACAAAAGACCATTTTGCAACTTCACAAAATCTTGTTCCACCCTTCTATAACTGACATCATTGAGAGCATACTTGAGTTTACGTTTTTACTTTTTCAATAACTACATTTTTGAGATTTAAAATGGATTGGCAAAGGAAATATATTAGAAATATTTATTTTTCATATTCAAATTGGTAATATTTAGTGAAGTGGAATTATTTTTTTGTTAAAAAAAAAAATTAGCATAGCATAAAAGTTATCCTGAGCCGAGGTTCTATTGGAAACAACCTCTCTATCCTCACATGGTAGGGGTAAGGTTTACGTCCACACTACCCTCCCCAGACCCCACGGTGTGGGATAATACTGGGTATGTTATTGTTGTTGTAGCATAGCATAAAACGTATACCATATGTTAAGTACCATAAAATATTTTTCTATTAGCATTGCATACTAATATATACCATACGTTAAAAGGGATTATGCAAGCGAAACCATGTTTTTCTTTTATTAAGCAAAACTTATTTTTTAATAATGGTGGTGTTCGGTCCAACTTGCACATTAAGCTAAACTTTTCCTTCCAAGTTGCATTATCCATACTAAATTGCTAGTATTGCAAAGATGGAATCTGGACGTGATCCTAGGTTCATATTCTTTCACATCACATGATTAGACACAATGGAGGAATTACACATAGAGTTCGGGGAGATTAGGAATCGGTTTTGTTCCTGACGCTGATGCTGACGCCATCTTCATTGGGGACACTACCTTGCAAGGTTGTTTTATTTGTTAGTTCCCAATTAAGCAAGTGCATGTTTCCATTTCTTACTTCAATTAATTGGTAGAGAAAGCAAGATGGGAGCTCTCTAATCTTCAATTTATCTCGTGAAAAGTTGCATCATTTAATACATAATTTGATCTTTGTACTTTTGGATGAGCATTTTGGCGAATTCTTCTGCTTTTCCTGTTAGTATGGCCTAAGTCATTTAATGCCTTTTTGCATGGTCTTAGATACTCTTTGATGTGGTTATGTTACGTAATTATAGACTTGTTGAATTTTAGTACATCTGAAAATACTATTATCAAACTCATTGACAAGTCAATCTATCTTCGCTTAAAACTTAGATCCTATAAAGTATTTTAAGTAGCACAAAAGTACCCAAGGTGTGGCATAGCATTTATTGAAGTGGGCGAAAATCTTGGAGACCAGAGTTCAATTCCAAGCAGCGATCAAAAACTCTAGGCGATTTCTTCCCATTTGCCTAAGTTTTGGTGGCTAGAGTTAGCAGGTACCTTTGCTAGTGGAATGTAGCAGGTACTTCTTGGAATAGTCATGGTGTATGCAAGCTGAGCTAGATACGATCGTTATCAACCAAAACAAATATTTTAAGTAACACAAAGAAGTACCAGATTACCTTGGTGCTGCTTCTTAATAAAAGGTTTACTTTTACTCGATCCAAAGATGTAATAAACTGTTATTTTCTTTTTCAGATTGACAAACCTAATTCATTAGGGTTTAACTTCTAAATTAGCTTACCAAACAACCTTTTAGTGTTTGCTTAAGGATTAATTTGGCAACTCTTTACGTGCTTCTCTTTTTCCCTAATAAATGAGTGTCGTCTTTTTGGTGAAGATAGTTATTTCTTTATGAAAAATAAGGAAAATCTCGATATCCATTATGAGTACAAAAAGCGGAGAATCCTATTCGATAATATGATTTTCTACAACAAGGATCAATCATTAATACCGACAAATAAGTGTTGTTTTATACATTTTCTTGTTGTTCACGTGCTAGATAGGGTTGTTAATTAGCTTTTAGATCCTTCTATGGTCGGAGATTGAATCCAGTAAGGAAATTTTTTATGGTTTGATTATTTCATTTTCTAGAAGCTTTTATGGTTTTCTCTTAAGATTAACGATGCTAAGATTTACCGCCCGAGGCTTTGGTCTAGTGGTAAAAGTGCAGTGCGTGATGTGTGCTAGGTGCATTCACGGGTTTGAACTCAGTCATTGTCAAAAGTCCGGCATTAAGCGGAGAAAGGTAGAGGGACATGCTCATTATCCTCCGAGTTCCTAACAATGCGAATTTCTCGGTTAAAAAAATAAAAATAAATGATTGAATGTACAATAGAGAATTTGCTCCTATGATATCAATGAGGTATCAAGGTATAAATGAGGTCGATAATGAGTATCTAGCATGACGTCGTTAAGAACAATTTTTGTATCTAGGAAATTGCACATGCTTTTAGACCATTTGGACTTTAGTGTTGTCATTTAGCAAACTAGAAATATATTAATTATACCAATAAAAGTTGGGGTGGAGTGATAAGTACTCATTCATCCTTAACCGGAGCTCTCGGGTTCGAGCCTTGGTTATGGAGTCTCCTTTGTTAGGGAGTTCTTTACCCCTCAATATGGGACTTTCCGGCGCGAATCCGGATTTAGTCGGACCCCAATGCGGTACTGAACATCTGGTAGGAAACCTAAAAAAAATATATTAATTATGAAATGAAGCACCTTGTCAGTTGGAAAAATCCTTTTTTCCTTCTTTATACACATTTAAGGACAAAAGCTTTGCTCTATGAAGGATTTTTATTAAGTTGCTCCATGTTTTTGGGTCCACTATGCTGCTTGATGTTAGTTAAGCCTCTCCTTATGCGTTAGAATCAGGCAGTTGAGGAGAAAAATAGGATAACTATCGGTATACTTTTCGATATCATCACTTTGCTATTACATACTTGCTATTACATACTGAAGTTGGATAGAGGACGTCTATAGGAGAAGAGGGGGATATGTTTTTTGATTAATATCATTCATTGGTAAATCATGCTAAAAACCAAAACCCTTAAACATTTATGAGAGCCACCTTTACTCAATTCCCAAATTGTAATTTTGTTCTTCTTTTCTTAATATACCTTTCCTCCTTCATTTTGACTGCCCCATTTATGGAAACATGCTCCCAAGTCTATTCATTATGATGCAACAATTAGTTCTCCCACATGCAAACTGCCTCCTTGAACATCTAGAAATATTGGCATTTTGAGTAGCAAATTTTTTCACAAATAGAAGTACTTTCGTGGGTGGCTTTATAAGGATTTTAGACAGATTGACTTGTTGGGTGCGTATGAACAAAGCCCCACATGGAAAGTAGAAAAGAAAAAAAAATTACTTATAAGGAATTGGATGTTCTTAATGGTGTGAGGTATTTTGGGAAAACCATGCGGGCAGACCCAAAGTGGACAATGTCACACCATGTTAAGCATATCATTGGGCCATTTTAGCCCGACAATTCGTATCAGAGCCAATGGTTTTGCGGGACTATAGAGATGGCGGAGTGTGGCGTTTGGGCATGGCTTAATGCCTTTGCCCGTCTACGGGGTTTACGATCTTTATCCGTAGCTTTGAAGACACATAGGCTGGGCTTCGGTGACGGTAAATACTCAAGATCATGTGGGTGACACACAATTAATTTCCAAATAATGGAAATGGCTTATGTGGGACTTAGCTCAAGTGGGAGATTGATGAGTGTGTGAACAAAGTCCCACTTGAAAAGTGGAAAAGAAAAAGAAGCTACTTATAAGGAGTTGTATGTTTAATGGCGTGAGGCCTTTTGAGGAAAAACTTGTGGGCTTGCCCAAAGCGGATAATATCACACCATGTTAAGAGTATCTTTGGGCCGTTTTAGTCCAACAATTGAGTTGCCTACGCTTAAATTTAACAAAGTGGAAATATATGGACCTTGACCTGTTTATTGTTGGATGAGTCTCAGCTTGCAGAAGTGTGGTTATATATATATATATTACTTATTAGCTTGAAGCTAGTTGGTGATGTTTCTGGTCTTCACCTTACTTGTGCGACCAACTATTCTATTTGTTTTCCTTTTGTATGTCAAAGTTCTTAAGCCTTGCCTTAGTCGTTGAATGGGGTTCTATATTGTATGGAATGTTTATGGTGTCGGTCACGATTCTTGTGCTTCTCTAACTATGTTGTCTAGATACTGAAGTGCTTTAATAATTATATGTCATTTAAGCTTGTTGCTGCTTTCTGAAGTTTCTCTCATGTGATCTGACATGGTAACAGGCCGCCAATTGGTATAGTGAAGGATTTAGGGCTGAAAGATGCTGATCTTATTTATCATGCAGTAAGTGTGGTTACTGTTTGTACTTGCCGCACCCATGCTACCTATATCATTTTTCCCTTTTAGCTAGTCAACCCCAAAACTTTGTACGTTGCCTCATGGCTTACATATATTACAGAGTGGGCAAGTAGATGTATTTGATGACTTTGGGGCTGACATTTGTCCGGTGGCTGAGGGAACATTTCTCGACAGTGATGTAGGGTTTGGCAATAAGAACTGCTGGGACTTTGAGAAAGAAAACCTTTCTGGTCCAAGGTATATTCTTTCTACCTCTCTTTATCAATTTGGAGTAAGTTTCTCTTCAACAAAAGAGAGTATATTTCTGGTTCATTGAGTAACCTCAGTAAGATTAACTCCCCCTACTCGCACCACCATAAAATGCAGAAAATTTAATAATAATAATAAAAAAAAAAAAAGTGAAATAGCTTTAAAACCAAGTGCTTTACATATATGCTTCTGTGCAGTATTCAGCTATGCTGCATAAGTAGCTGCTAGTTAGTGGATTACTGATACTTTATACTTAAATAATGTTAAACAAAAGGAAGCAGGGGATAGCTTGTTTAACCAATATGTTACATTGTACTCTCCTTTGTATTTCCTACAAGTATATACTTTTGCTAAATTTATGCTTTTTTATGTGGATACTAGCAGTAGCATGATAGTTTTACCGATACTTCAAGATCTTGATAAAGACCGAAATATATGACAGATATTCTAGGTTCATCAGTTGAGTGAACAAATAGAATGTTTTGTTTTTATTATATTCTTAGGCAGCTTTTGTAAGCTGAAAGTTTGTCCTGGAGGCTTGACGAAGTGGAACCCTTTGCTCCTTAATATTACTGGTATGTATAATGTTGTCTACGCTTATTTTATAGGTTTCTCTTTGTCCATAATATCTTCCTTAAACAAAGGAAAGTAAAGGGAAAAAAGTAAAAAAGAAATAGTCGTAACTTCTACCTTTCCTTCTTTAAACTTCATAAATACCTATGTGTGACTCGAGTCAAGTCATATGAGCAACATGTGCATACTTTTGACACCGCTTGGTGTTTCATGATTAATATTTTGACTTATAATAAAAAAGAAAAAAATCTTCTAACCATGCATTCTTGATGTATGGCCCTACAATTGAATTTTTTTCCCTAGTACTTCCGAAAAATATTCTTTATTTTAACAAACTTAAAACTTGCATAGTATAATAGATACAACGGAAAATGGTCAAATATATCCCTCTACTTTCAGATATTGTTTAAACTTACCCTTCATTACACTATCTGGTTGTCTAGGTCCATACCATTATACTTTGGTTAAAAAATACCCCTAATTTTAACAGAATGCCACGTGGCACTTTAGGGTTGAAGAGACTCACCCTAAATTTTAATTAACCCGGATATGTACCCCATAACCCGACCCAGTTACTCCCACTTAAAAGACTCCACCAACGAACTAAGCCCCCCCTCCCCACCCCGAAACTTGATCTCTAAAATTTTTACATCGTTAAACCTATTTATCTAATCCTACATCAGCTGATTCTGTGAGTTTTGTGGAAAGTATGCGGTGAAGAGAAAAACTGTGGGTATTTGTGGCTAGCCTTCGGGGCTGAGGGAGCAAACCGAGATTTAGAGCAACCATCAGCCTTTCTTTGTATTTGCTTATGATGTGTCTATGGAATTTTGAAATCAGATCCATTTTTCAATTTTAAGACCATTTTTATGTTTGTGAACGCTCACAATTAGTCGTTAGCTACTTTTAGGAAACTAAGTCTATTCTGATAATGTTATTGCTTCATATGGTTTTTTGCTTTTCAAAAAAAAATAAATCTAATCCTAACATCGCTGCACAGTCCACTTCGACGACCGCAGCTCTACTGTCGGAGTCACTAATATGCCGAAGATGGTAAACTACCCTGAAAGATCCCCATTCTCTAATTCCCTTGCTTTCTAGCTACAACTTTGATGGAAAACAATATCTGAAATGGGGTGTTCAAGAAAAAAATAAGAATCCAATATTTTTCGGCTCCAGAAAATGGCCATCCATTCAAGACCATCAAGTTACTACAAAACTTTTAGGCTCAGATTTTGCTGTTCTATAAACTATCTTCAAATTTACAACGAAATTCCTTTTTCTAGCATACAATTTAGAGGCTTTATTTTGAATACAAAGAAAAAAGATAGTCTTGGAATTTGGGGTGAAGATGACAATGGAGCAGTGAGGTAATGGGTGAAGAAGATTATGAAAGCTTGAAATAGTTTTCTTTTTCTTTTTCCTTATCTCAAAGTTAGGGAAAATGGGTTATGGGTAAAAAATTTGGAGGCGGGTCAGGTATTAAACTTTGGAGTGAGTCTTTTTAATTTTGAAGTACCACATGGCATTCAATCAAATTAGGGATATTTTTGAACCAAAGTATAACGGTAGGGACCTGGACAACCAGATAGTGTAACGGAGGGTAAGTTTTAACAATACTTGAAAGTAGAGGGATATATTTGACCCTTTTCTGTAGATACAATGACTCGTCGATCAAAGAAAATGGCAGATACCATGATTTAATATTCTCTAGTAAATTCGAATTTTGTTTCATACTTTTGATAATGGTAAAAAAGCGATTGAAACAATGTATTTTTTTGTCCAAATCATTGTCTTTCTATATATCGTTTATTAGCAATTTGAGTGACTCAATTTTTAGAGAAGTATGTTTTTAAGGATCTTTTCTTAGTAGTTGTACTATTTAAGCCATTTGAATTTTTTTAGTGTCTCACATCAGTGTGGGAGGTGATTATTTGCCTCTCTATATGATCTTGGGAAATCATCACCTCATGAATTAGCTTTTTGGGGTTGAGTTGCGCACTTGCGCCTAAGGTTCATTTCTTCTCATCCCTTGAATGAGGCTTAAGGTCCATTTCTTATCATCCATTATATTGTTTGATCTCAAAAATAATTAGAAGTCAAAACTAACATTTCTAGTGAAGTGTTGGGTAGTATATTGATGTAAAACCTACTTAATCCTAGCAAGTTTTGTTTTAAAGACCTTTTCCTATTCCGTAAAAGGAAGTGATATAGTACCTGCCCAATGCTTAAGATTCTGAACTTTCTCTTTTGGGTAAGTAAATGAGATTTTATTGGACCCAAAAATAAATTCTCTAGTATAGAAAAGTGTACAGATAAAATAGGAACTAGGTAAAGATGTTTCTATCTGCAAGTAACATTTGATTTGCCCTTAAGGTTTTTGTTTATGGTTTAGTGGTAAGAGGGCAACGCGTCATGTGTGGGTTATGCACATGTCAACAAGTTTGGACCACGCCACAGATAAAAGGTTTGTATTTAAGTGGAGAATGATAGAGGGAGTGGCCCACACCATTACAGTCCCCCAAAGTTCTCTCTTTCGGTCTTTCCGCATTGTTCATCATATTCTGATGTCCTTGCTACACGCCATAATAATTCTTTTGGGCAGAACACTGTAGAGGTGTAATTACGTATGTGGTGTTCCGCCTCCCTTCTTCCTTTATTCGTTCTCCTGTATCTAAATTCTTATTTTTTGAGGGCCTGCATACCTAATTTTTCAGTCGCAGATGGGTTAGGGACTTGGTTCTTAGGCTCCTGCATTTGTATGCAATTTATATCTCTGCCTAGTCTGTCTTTATTTGTGTGAAAATATGATAACAAATTGCATAGAATGTCGGGCCATAATATATATTTGGTTGCTCCTTGACTCTAGCGCTGGTCACTCTCTTACTCTTTTTTTTTTTT